TGCTTCGAAAAGTTCACGATGGCCTTTAGTTACCCTTCTATTCGATCTCAGGGTAGTATTCAGCTCGTAGACCGATGCACTAGTCTGTTTAATTATGATGCATTGGACTATTAGTCCCGAATTGGCAACGCTGTACAGCCTAAACGAGGTTTCACTTCAAGTTGAAACTTTTCCCGGAAGTTTGCCTTACCATAAGCTTTCGTTTGAGCCTTGTCTCGTTGACCAACTCGGGTATAATAGTCTGTTGAACCATGACGATTCAGTATTTCGTGAGTACAGCGCATAAAAATAAAAAATTGGCGACGCTGTACAGCCTAAACGAGGTTTCACTTCAAGTTGAAACTTTTCCTGGAAGTTTGCCTTACCATGAGCTTTCGTTTGAGTTTTGTCTCGTTGACCAACTCGGGTATAATAGTCTGTTGAACCATGACGATTCAGTATTTCGTGAGTTTAGCGCATAAGAATGGAAAATTGGCAACGCTGTACAGCCTAAACGAGGTTTCACTTCAAGTTGAAACTTTTCCTGGAAGTTTGCCTTACCATGAGCTTTCGTTTGAGCTCTGTCCCGTTGACCAACTTGGGTGTACTAGTCTACTTATGCACCGGACTAATAGTCCAATATCCTTGATTTTAGCACATGAAACGGGAAAATTGGCAACGCTGTACAGCCTAAACCAGGGGTCACTTCAAGTTGAAACTTTGCATGGAAGTTTGCCTTACCATAGGCTTTCATTTGAGCACCGTCCGGTTGACCAACTCGGGTATAAAAAAAAGGGGCGAAAAAACACCACTTTTTGGCGAGGCTCTTTTCAGCCAATTTCTCACCGATGGAGCTTTCCTCGCTCCGAACTCTGACCACGATTTTGCCCGACCAAATTTTTTTTTTCGCGCAAGAGTTTTTCGCACCAAAAAAATCCGTCCGCGATATCACTACTTTCACACACTTCTTTACACTGGGATGACGGAGCACAGGGCTCTGAAAATGTCGACGAAGAGACGAAACTTTCGTCACAACGCGAGGATGAGGAGACGATATCCATTACTTTCCCACGTGAGTACTTGAACGCCGATAAATGATTACTGAAAATCATGCTCATCTTCAGGAAAATGGTTGAATCGCAGATCATTTCAAAACAATTGAATGGTCAGTAATAAGTCGACCGAGGTCCGGAAGATAAAAGCTGCGAAAGATAGGATAATCTAGATTCCTCGGTATCTCATCGGCAATCTAGTTTTTTGGGCTGAAGCAATATCCAAGCACCTCAAACCCATGTGCATGCAAGGGCTGCCAAGAAACACATAATTTTGGCCCTTTCCTTTTTAATTCATTAATTTATGTCAAATAAGTTGCATACGGTTATTGATGGTCTATTTGAGTAAATATCGGGGGGGGGGGGGGAA